TTCTGGTTTATCTTAATACTGTAACATCTTGCTGTAAGTATGAGATAATAACTAAAAAAGTTATAAAAACATCCCGATTTGATTGGGATTTGAACACGAGACTTCTACTTCAGACTACCCATTGAATCAATTTGAATGTTACCAACAAAGGGAGTGTTATGAACAGAGAGTGGCTTTTAAATAAAGATTCCTGTCACACATCATACAACAAACTATTATCATATTTTTTTTGGTCATTATTTGTTTCAAATTCTTTACCACACACTACACAAATCTACAGTTTCTCTACAGTATGTGTGTTATCATATTTTCTTTGGTTATTATTTTATCCAAATTCTTTACTACATACTACATAAATCTACAGTTTGTCCCCATTATATACTCTCTGATGTATTTAAGGTTATCATTATTTCGAAATTCTTTATCACACACTAAACCACTGTATGGTTTCTCTCCGGTAGGTATCCTTTGATAACTTCTAAGGTCTAAGATCACAATTTCTTATGAATTCTTTACCACAAACTACACAGTTGTGTGGTTTTTAACAAGTGTGTATTCTTTTGTGAATTTTTAGGTGATAATTACTTTGAAATTGTTTGCCACACACTATACAAATATATGGTTTCTCCCCAGTATGTGTCCTGTGATGTATTTTAAGTTGATTACTTCTTGCATACTTTTTGCCACAATCTACACAACTGTATGGTTTCTCTCCGGTATGTATCCTTTTATGTGCTTTAAGTTTGTCATTACTTCCAAATTTCTTGCCACACTCTACACAACTGTATGGTTTCTCCCCAGTGTGTATCCTTTGGTGAACAGTAAGATAATTATTTCTTGCAAATGTTTTACCACACACTAAACAACTATATGGCTTCTCTCCAGTATGTGTCCTCTGATGAGTTTTAAGTTGACTACTTCTACCATATTCTTTTCCACACTCTACACAACTATATGGTTTCTCTCCAGTGTGTATCCTCTCATGTCTTTTAAGTTCATTATTACTCCCAAATTCTTTACCACACACTAAACAATTGTAAGGTTTCTCTCCAGTGTGAACCTTCTCATGTCCATTAAGTTGACTTTTATTCCTAAATTTTTATCACAAACTATGCAACTGTAAGGTTTCTCACCAGTATGTACACTCTCATGTTTCTTTAATTGATTACTGCTTCGAAATCCTTTATTACACACCACACAAGTGTATGGTTTCTCTCCAGTGTGTATCCTCACATGATCTTGT